AAAGTATCTTGCTTCATTTGAGTATGAAACAAGTTACATATACTCTGTTCTGGATAGGGATGTAAAATATTGGTTAATCAGTTAAGCGGGCTGTTGCTACCACCTCCACATGCAAGAGTCAGCAGAAGCCACGCGCAGGGGTGGAGGGGGGAGTAGTGCAGCTGGCAACCATGTAGGGGGGTGGGAGGGAGCAGCTGGAAGCTATATGTGGAGGGGAGCAGGCGGCTAGCAGCCACACGTGCCCCCTCCCCTGCACACAGGATGGCTGGCTCCCGTTCTTGGCCCCTGGTCACACATAGGCTACAGTCTCACAGGGGTCATGAGCCAGCTGCCTTCAGGCTTGCAGCAGGGCATGGGGGTTGGAGGGGGAGACTGCTCCTGGGTAAACTGTACAAAATTGGAGTTCAGCTGCATATGATTTGTTTTACTAGAAAGATTAATAAGAATTAGTGAAATCAAGAATAAAGTCAGTCTATAAATGTATTAGTAAAAAAATGTATTATTGCAAAACTAATAAAAATATGAGTATCTTTACACCAGACCTCAATAATTAAAACTATGTAAGTGGTGTTTTCCTAACTTCTATGATCTGTGGAGAAGTGTACAGTGCTTAGCTGAAGGATGGAGTTTGCTTCAAACTAACGCAAAGGCTGACAGTCAATTTGACAGTATGCATTTCATAAGCACTGCCACTTTAGGAGTAATCCATATGCCAAATAGGCTTCAAGCTAAGCTTCCAATCTCTGATAAAAAAAGTTTTATAATCCCCAAGTCACTAGGTTTAGTAGACGATTAAAATCACCTTTTCCATTATAAATCCAGGTTCAGTTCCTAAATATTTATTTTTGGCTACAGCTATAAGTTAATGAAATACCACAGATCAGTTATGCACAGAATTCAGGCTAAACATATTTCCCAATATGAAGTTAGCATATGCTCTAGGTACAAATTAAAATTAAACAAAAATTGTTTTTCAGGGGATAACCCACAGTATACAATTTGGCAAAATTTTCCTTTTAACTGTCTGCTACAAACAAACAGCTAACATTGATTATTATTGTTAATCACTTCAAAGATTTTAATTACAACCAAGACATCCTCCAAGAAAAGAAACAATTCTTAGAACAAATCTCCAATTCTCACTCTTACAAACTTCCCTATGGACTGCAATAGAAACAAATTCTGAACATTTTTAGATTTATCCAAAAATACCTGCCAAACCTTTCAAAATATCCAAATCAGGACAACTATACTTCTTATAAAGTTTATTTCCTAGATGACCTACCTGCTGAAGTCATAATTAAAGTTTCATGGTAGAGAAAACTGAAATTATATTTATTTTTCCCAAATTTTTAATATTCTTCTAATACTTGCACTTATCAAACCTGAAAAGAGTAAAGTGAAAGCCAGATGTGTTGTCTATGTTAACAAGTGTGCTTAATTCAAAAAGTTATGTTCCAAGTTAGTTTTCTGTTAAAATGACACAGCTATTTTATTATTTGAAAAAAGCACCCAATTTCAATAAGGTCTCTAAAAAACTTAATTTTATAAACTTTCAATGCTGATGAAACTAAACCTGGGTAGAATTATTCTAAGAATGTTATCTGGTGGCAAATGATCATTCATAGAATTTGAAACATTTTGCGGGGACAGTTCAGTTTTGATGAAGTTGCAATGGAGCACAGGCAGAGTTCCCAAGGAAGCATCTTGCCAGTCCGCTTGAAATCCCAGCTCAGGCAGCTTCAAACAGAGCTCCCAGAAGCTCAGCTCCTGCACACCTTAGCAGGTGGCATAATGGGGAGTTGGAACCCATGCAAATAGTGGCTAAGCTTTGAGGCACCTCACTTCCAGCTCTTCAGCAGGCTGAGGTTCCAGGATTGACAGCTCCACAGCAGTCTGCCAGGTAGACAGCATCAGAACCAGTACTCCATTCCCTTTTACAATGAATTTGGAAATGTCGGGGAATGAAGGTGGTGTTCCAAGTTTCAACAAAACTATGTTTCAAAAAGGTCAAAATCCTCCACAAAACAGAACTGTTTTTCCTCTTCCCAGATCAAGTTAAAAAGAGATGAAGTTTTAAAAGGTAATGTGTGCTTTTCCTGAGCACCACAGTCATGTTTAATTCCTTAGACATGTATTGACATTGTAATTTAGCATTCCACATGGTTAAATTTGTCTATAGTAGATAATTCATAGTAAAGGTCAAAATGTCATCAGTAAACAGGAAAAACTGGACACCAGGAAAGATTAGCTTTCCCACCATTCCATATTCACTGGTTTCTATCCTCAGAGTTTCTCTGGAAAGTTAACTTGTAAGCTGTACAATTCTATTTCTAGCATTATAAATTAATGTAAGCTAATGAAAATAAATTTTCAGATTTTAAAGAATAGTCAGACATTTTGAAGTAAAAAAAAGTCTTACTAATCTATGCCTCCCTTGTTCACTCCTATAAAAATCCACATCACAGAGTATTCCATGATTAACAGGCCACATAACTTATAAAAACCTCCAATACAGAACTTATCCAGAAATCTTAAGTTATTTTTATTGTGGCTACCCAGGCATAAATGTTGATCTCATTATTTTACATTTGTTCTGCAAATCTGCTGCCATTTTCCAGAATTACTTCAGTTTTGCAAAAACATTTAGAAAGAGACTTGGAATACCGCAGAATACATTCAAAGCAAATGCCGCACATTAAAATGTACACTAACTAAAAATAATTACTTCTGCCAATTTTTTTTAAATGTTATAATTTACACTATAATAGAAAGGTGAGAGAAATTTGTTTATTTTTTCAATCTACTTGCTAGATGAATTCAACAGCACTTTTTGTCTACTGCATTTCACTATGTAGTAAGTGTGCTCCCCTCTGCGTTGAGATTTCCTCACAGGAAAGAGGAAAGGGGAAAAAAAAAAGCTTCTTAAATAGAATAAGTCACCTGTAAAATGAGAGAAATCACCAAATGGACTGAACCATTAAAAATAAACCATTAAAAAGTTAACGATTTCAAACTGATTATCTCTAAATTAATATCCATGAACCTTTTCTTATAGGGGTATTCTAGATAATAATCAAGAGATATATTCACTGGCAGTTAAAACCAATCTCCACAGCCCTGGCTATTTGACAATCAACTGGATGCTTCTTTGACAATATCTAGAAAAAGACCAGAGATTTATAATAATAATCCTATGATAATTTATTGCATTCAAATACACTTACAAATCCTCCTTTAGGCATTAGATGAAACCAAGGACAGTCTAAAGACCAAAATGGTTGGGGGAGGGGATGAGGGAGAATGGACCAAGATTCAATTCCAGTAACTTTCTAAGTGCATACTTTGAATTTTCTCCACAGTGTTGACAGCTTAATATAAACAAAAGGCTAGCAACTGTTCAGTTTAACTAGTATCACAAACAAGAGATTATCAGTTTTCCACAAATCTGCATCTAAGATCTGACCAAAATCCAAGTTTCTCAAAATGGAATGCACATTGTCAGCCAATTTGAGAGAGTAAATTTCTTATTTAGATATAATTCAAGCACTCAACAGCTAAAAAGATGTGTCAGAGTGCTGCTTTACCATCAGACTTGTATCTCACGGATTATCTGCACATAGGAACAGCCATACCAGCTCAGAACAAAGGTCCATCTAGCGTCTTCTGACAATAGCTAATGCCAGGTGTCCCAGAGGAAAGTAACAGAACAGGTAATCACCAAGTGATCCATCCCCATTCTCAGCTTCTGACAGAGGCTAGAGACACCATTCCTGTCACCTTGGCTATTAGCCATAGCTAATAACCATGAATTTATCTAGCTCTTTTTTGAATCCTGTTACAGTATTGGACTTCACAACATCCTCTGCAAGGAGTTCCACAGATTAACTGTGCATTGTGTGAAGAAAATGCAGCACATGACTGTTTTTAAAAGTGTTACTTTAAATAATAACAAAGATGTATGTATGTGTGAATTCCAATTTTAATAAAACATTGGGATGAACACTAACAATGGAAGACTTTATGAAAAAGGAAACAAAAGTACCAATACATGCCATTCTAAGTCTGATCAGGCAAATCTGATCAGCTAAAATATTCTTCTGACAAAAGTTTAATGACTTGTCAAATTAGTAATGGTGACCAGAGTAAAGCCTCCAACTAACAAGAGAAAAACAGGGATAAATAACCAGGCTTTTTTAAATGTAGACACAGTCCTGCCAACCTGCTACTTGCAGAATAGCTGTTCCTCTTCACCCCTCAAAGGATCACAGCATAGACTATAAGAAAGCTTTCCAAAGGGAGGCAGGGCAGTAAAGGGAGATAAGAGAATTAAATTTCCATGTTTCCCCACCTCTAAAGAGCAATTGCAAAAAAAGGGAGGAGAGGTGGAAAAGCGCAGATTCAGTTTTGGAACATATAGGAAGAAAGACTAGAGCTAAATAAGAAAACAGACAACACAATCCCCTGCCCAGTGTCGCTCATCGGGGCAAAAAGAGATGC